CGTCCGGGTGGGGGAGGCGAGCCACCCCGGGCCGATTTGCCCTGCTTGCCGCACGGAGGCGAGCTCGTACCGAGCAGAGGCTGGGGACCGATGCTCCGTGTGCGACGGGGCTGGTGCAGGCGGCTGGCTCCGCTATTGCGGGGGCTGCGACACGCGCCTCTGCCGGCGCTGCACACTGGACGCTCCGCGGGCTGCGACGGCCCCGGCCTCGGCAAGCGCAGCGCCTGCGGCCGCGGCACCAGGCAGCTTGCCCGGCCCATGCCGGCAGGCACAGCGGCTGCCGCCCAGATTTCCGGCGGCTCGCCAGCCCCGGCGCCGCCGCCGCCGGGCAGCGCCCCCGGTCCTGCTGGGTCGCCGGCGCCGCCGCCGCCGGGAGACGCGCCGGCGGCAGGCGCTGCCGCCGCCTTCGCCCTCCGGGACCTCACGGCCGCTTGCTGGGCAGGGCTCGACGCCTGCGATCTCCTGGAGGAGTTTGCGCTGGACTGCCCCACGCTGCGGGCCGTCCCGCGGCAGGCCTGGGCAGCGGCCGGACAGGCCACCGAGGAGCTCTGCAAGGGGATCCTCCAGGCCCCGGCCGGGAACGCGGAGGAGGGGCGCGCTTGGAAACTGCTGGCGCTGCGAGAGCGGTTGCTTTTCGCCGCCCCGCTCCGGCTGGGCGCGAGGGGCCGACAGCGCGCGGCGGCGGAGACGCTGGACCGCGCGCAGCTGGTGCGCGAGCGCTGCTCCGCGCTGCTCCGCGGCGACTGGGCGACGCTCCTGGAGGCGGCCCGGAGCACGGCCCGAGGACTGGCCAAAGCGCGCCGCCAGGCAGGCGACGGGGGAGGCCGCGACGAGCGTTCCCTGGCGGACGAGGTCCTCCGAAAGGCTATGGCGGAGGAGTATTCCCGAGCTGCCGCCCTGCTGAGCAACCCAGGACTCGCGCCACTCACGCCCGACACGGCAGGGCAGCTGCAGGCGCTGCTCCAGCCGCGCCCCGCCGCCGCGCTGCCGCCGGCGGCGCCGCCGCTGGTTGGGCCTCCGCCGCTCTCCCACAGGGCCTTGAAGAAAGCACGGCGAGCCCCCGGGGCAGCGGGGCGGCGGCTGGCGGCGGGCGCTTCGAGCACTGGCGGGTCGTGCTCGCCCAGCCCGCTGCGCTGGCGGCCCTCTACGGCGTGTGCGACCGCCTGGCAGAGGGCCCTGGTCCCAGAGAGCGCCGCCGCGGCCCCGGCACTGGCGAAGCTCACACCGCTGCGAAAACCAGGCGGCGGGGTCCGTCCGATCGCCGCGCCGAGCATCTTGCGGCGGCTGGTGGGCCGCGCGCTGGTGGCCCCTCGGAAGGAAGGCTTGGCCGAGGCACTGCTTGGGAGACAGCAGTTTGCTGTGGGCACTGCTGCGGGCACCGAGCTCTTGGCCCACACCGCGCGGGCTCTGGCGGCCTGGAGGAGGTGGCACCGGAGCTGCTGCCCTACGCCAACCTCTTCTGCCGCCGAGAGTCCCTGCACTACTTTTGGGACGCGGCTGGGGTCTGCCACCGCCTGCGAGCCACGAGCGGGGTAGACCAGTGGGACCCGCTGGCGCCGCTGCTCTTCGCTTGCGGGCTGCGCCCTCACCTGCCAGTCCTCGAAGACGCTCTGCGGGGGGAGGCCCAGCGCCGGGGGCTGAACCCAGACGATGTGCACGTCCTCGCTTACCTGGATGATGTCGTCGTGCTGGCCCCCTCGGCGCTCGCGGGCGAGGTCCAGGCGACGGCGCAAGAGGCGCTCGGCGGCTTGGGCTTGGAGCTGGAGCAGCGAAAGACGCAGGCCTGGTCTCCTGGGGCCGCCTGCCCTCCCGGGCTGGAGGAGCAGTGGCGCGCGGATGGCCTGGCCCTCGTGGGGGTGCCCCTGGGCGGGCCGCTGCCTCCTGGAGGGCTGCCGGACGAGAGCGACGCGCGCCGGGTCGACCTCGGCGCGGCCGGCTACGCGGCGGCGCGCTGCGCGGAGACGGCAGGGCGTGCGGCGGAGCTACTGGCCAAGCTCGCGGCCCTCCCAGCAACGGCCTCGCCGCACCTGCCGGCCGCGCAGACGACGGGGCTACTGCTCCGACGCTGCGGCGGCAGCAAGCTCACGCACCTGCTGCGCACGAACACCCCAGCAGCCTCCGAGGCGGCCGCCAGGGCCTACGACGACGCCCTGCTCGCGGCTTACGCGGCGCACGCCCGCCTCGACCCGCTGACGGAAACGCAGCGGGCGCACTGCCAGCTGCCGCTGCGGCTAGGCGGACGCGGCCTCCGCAGCCAGCGGCATCTGGCGCCAGCGGCCTGGGCCGGCTCCTGGGCGCAGAACTTGCGCGGGGTCAAGGGGCGCGCTGGGCTGGCCTGCCTGGGCGACTTAGACACTTGCGCCCTGCCCCTTGCTGGAGCTTGCCGCGACGCTCTCGCCGGACTTGCCCAACTGCCTCCGCCGCCACCTCGCCCTGGCGCGGAAGCGGGTGCACCTGGCAGGAACTAGCGCAGGCGCCTCGCCGAAAGCTCCAAAAGGTCCTGACAGCAAGGATTGACCGCAAAAACCACAACTCCTTGCTGCAGGCCTTGGGGCCAGAGGGGAGAGCCCTCCTACGCTCCTGCGGCGGGCCGCGCTCGAGCGCATGGCAGACTGCCTCGCCGGGCGCTGACGCGCAGCGGCTCGACGACGCGGACTACTACAGCACCGCGCGGGCGCTCCTCGGCCAGGCCGCAGCCCCGCCCGGCGCCGCCTGCTGCAACGCCGCCCGGACTGGCGAGCGGGCTGGCCAGCTCTGCGGGGAGCCGCTGGACAGCCGAGCGCGCCGCGCCTGGCGCTGCGCTCGCGGAGGCGGGCTCAAGGCGCGGAGCAGGGGCCTGGAGCGCGCTTGGGCCCGTATCCACGCGGAGTGCGGGCTCCACGTGGAGCGCCAAACCCACGTCCCGGCGTGGGACCGCTGGCGCTGGACCTGCCCGCGCTGCAACCAGGGCGGGGCGACGGCGGACCGGCCGGCGGGCCCGCGCGCCACCTGCGGGGCCGGGCTGCGCGCGGAGCGGGAGGAGGCCATCCTCGACATCGAGGTACAGCGGGCTGACTGCCCCCACTTGTACTTCGACGTGACGGTGCGTTATTGCGTGCCAGGGGGCGCCGACGGCCTGGCAGCGGCGGCAGGGCGCAACGACGCGGTCAACGCCGCGGCGGCCGGCCGAGAAGTGCCGCCGCTACCCGCCGGGCCGGACCCCGTGGGGCACGGTGCCCCTGGCGCTCGAGACCAGAGGTCGGCACGGGCTGGCAGCCCTCCGGCACCTCCGCGAGCTGGCCCGCGGGGAGGCGGCCCTCCTGGGCGACGACGAGGCCGCCCCGGCAGTCGCTGGCGCCCTGATGGCCCGGTAGGGCCGGGAGCTCAGCGTGGCCCTCCACCGGGCCACCGCCCGCCAGCTCAGGGCGGCGCTGGGCGCGGACAGCGCCGGCGCCAGGCGGGCGGCCGAGCTCCGGGCGGCTGCGGCGGCCTAGCCGGGCGGGAGCTGGACCAGCCGACCGGTACCATGTCGCCGCGCTCCCCGTGGAGTTCAGGGAGAGTGTGGGCGCGGGACAGACTGTGTGTGTCCGCCGCTCCAGGAGGAGGAGGAGGAGGAGGAGGAGGAGGAGGAGGAGGAGGAGGAGGTGGAGGATGATAGGATGAGGATGAGGATGAGGATGATGATGATGATGATGATGATGCTGATGATGATGATGATGATGATGATGATGATTGCATGATAATGATGATGAATGGATGATGGTGATGATATGAGATGATGATGATCTTGATGATGATGATGATGATGTTTCTGATGATGATGATGATGATGAGGGGAGGAGGTGGGAGGAGGGAGGAGGAGGAGGAGGAGCAGGAGGAGAGAGGAGGAGGAGGAGGAGGATCAGGAGGAGGAGGAGGAGGAGGAGGAGGAGGAGGAGGTGGAGGAGGAGGAGGCGGAGGAGAATGAGGAGGAGGAGGGGAGGAGGAGGAGGAGGATGATGATGATGATGAGATGAGGAATGAGGAGGAGAAAGAGGAGAGGAGGAGGAGACAGGAGGAGCAGGAGGAGGAGGAGGAGGAGGAGGAGGAGGAGGAGGAGCAGGAGGAGCAGGAGGAGGAGGGGGAGGAGGAGGAGGAGGAGGAGGGCGCGCCAGATCCACGGACCGCTGCTTCATGCTTGCGCGCCCCCGACCCTCCCCCCCCTGCTCCCTCCTGGCGCGCCGCCAGGCCACGGAGCTGTCGCGGCTGATCTTCCCTCCCGCCGCTGCCCTGTCCTGCCGGTGCCCGGGGCGGTGCGCCCTCGGGCCGCGGCCGGGTCCCAGACGTGCTCGCGGCGTGGCCGACATCGGGGCGGGAGGTTTCCGCCGTGCGTGCAGCTCATGGGGGCCCTTGCCGGGCCCCGGGACCGTCAAACCAGGGCTGGACTTGAGCGGTGTTTTGGCGATCTCGTGGGCCGTTTTCGTTTCGGTTTCGTTTTGCTGTCAAGGCGGGTTGAAGTCAGAACGGGGCAAAACGAAGACACAATGAAGACGAAAAACACCGTTTAGGTTCAGCCATGCGTCAAACAGCGATTCAGGATACAAAACCGGCCCCAAGGAAAGGGTCTGGACCGGGGATCGAACAAATCAGGACGGCGCATGTTTGGGGTGTCCCCTCTCGCGCGGCGCGCCCTGTTGCCAGTGGAGCGCTGGACCTCTTCTCCTCGTTCTCCTCCTGCTCCTCCTCCTTTTCCTCCTCCTCCTCCTGCTCCTCCTGCTCCTCCTCCTCTTCCTCCTCCTCCTCCTCCTCCTCCTCCTCCTCCCAGGGGGGAATCGAAGAGGAGAGGGACAACACTACACAAACACAAACTTTCGGACCTCCACATGCTCATGCAGCTTTTTGTTTCTTCAGAGGCGCGGGATGGCTGATGGACCGGGCGGGGGGCGGGGCAGGAAGAGGGGGGGGCGCGATGTCGGAGGGGCGGGGGAGGAGAGCGGCAGATGGAAAAGGCCGCCAGGGCCAGGGCAGCTTCAAGCCCTGAGGAGCAGCTGACGAAGATGAGCGGCTTGCCAGATGCGCCCGTGTACGACACCCTTACGATCATGCAGGACGGCAGGGGGATCGAGAAGGAGGGATGTATTCTTCTGCGCCTCGCTTTCCCTACTTTAGGATGTTAGTCGTATTCATCGCCGCCACGTTTCCAGCAGACACAAAGCCACATGAACCTGCCTGTCGACTGCTAACAGAGTCGCAATCACGCTCCAGCGATTGTCTGTACTTCCCAAATTAGCAGCATCACTGGCATGGCCACCGCGACCATCAGCGACAGCAAATACGTGCAATCGCACTTGCGCCCACTAGTGCGTTAGCCTGCTTCCTCTCACCCACATTGCCACGAGCAGGCTTGCCTCATGTCAGGCTTTCCAGGGAGTTCGTAGGCGCGAGCGAGATGGGATCTCATGGTCGCACGTGGTGCTACAGTGGGGGCCCATGCCAACAAACACCCTGCTCACGATGGCTTTCTCTGGAAAGCCCTGGGTTTCTTGGGTTTCTTGGGTTTCGATGGTTTTTCGATGGAAAGCTTGAGATTCCCACATTAGTCATCCATGGACGTCCTCGGACTCCAGGGTTGGGTTTCTTGTGGAAGGTTTCTTGTGGTCGAGCCCGTACTGTATGCCCTTTCCCGCCTTTCCCGTAGGCCCTCCCTCGTCTTTTCTCCGCCGAGGACTCGAAGAAGCTGGCACCCGTCCTGGCCCAGCTGCAGCAGCTGGTGGGCTTGGACAACGTGAAGGCGCGAGCGGCCTGGCGAGAGGGCAGTTCACGTTTGAAATACGTCGGGCACGTGCTTCCACAGGAGGAACAATCAAACATAGTCAATCATTAACCTGGGTACGAATTGTCGATTATTGTCTTTGCTATTTTGCTATTTTAATTTGCTATTTTTGTTATCTTTGGGGAAAATAGCCTATGTTTGTGCTATTTTTGATTTTTCTTCCATGATCGGCCTGTAGGGGCACATGCCCGACCTGAAGTTCACGTCTCGGCGGTCGGACCATTCCCGTCGAAGGGATCTTGGCATCGCTCGGACGTGTGCATTTTTCCGTCGGCGAGGACCATCGAGGAGCATCCTTGATCATTTGGCGAAAAAACCACGCACGAAACCAAACAAATCACAGGGAATGGACGTCGAGCGAGGGCCAGGAGGGGATCGGCCGCACTCTGGGGACCTTGCGTTGTGCTCGACGCCCCGACGCTGGTGCCTGGGGGTCTGCGCGGCGGCTCCCGCCGGACGGCGCGCGGCCCCGTGCGGGGGGGCTCCCCGGGTTCTCGCGCTGGCCCTGGCCAGGAGCCAGGAGCCGGCAGTGCGTGGTCAGGTTCGGGGGCGGCAAAGAGGGGGGTGATGACTAGGGGGGGGATGGATATCACGGCGCGGGCCATGATATCTCCCCAGATTTCATGTCGCCTCTTCTTACTCCATTACGTCCCTGGCCCCCCCGCTGGGCCGCGCACATGCCGCCGGCCATGATTTGCACGCCCCCCTCTTGGACACCCCCCTCTTTGCCGCCCCTGACAGGTGTGAGCGCAACCGGCTGTTTGCGCTTTGCCGCACTCTCGTGCCCGCCGCTGGAGTCGTCTGTTAGCAAGGCGCCTTGCCCGGAGGCGCCCCGGGGCGCCAGTTGGTCGGTGAAGGTGGTGGTGGTGGGGAGAGGAGGAGGCCTGCCACCCTTCGCATGCGTTGCATTCCTAGCCGACTTTCGGGTCGCATGATTTTCGGGATCTGGTGCAACGGCCGCAGAGGATCCACGTTTTTCAATCAAATAATGCCCCACTTCCCCTTCGCGGAGGCTCAGATGAGATCCTCTACCGGAGTCGGAAGGTCTTTCTCCCAGGCCATACAGTCAAATTTCACAGTAAGGATGAGCTGCTTCATCAAGGCAACCCTTGCAGACCTGCTTCTTCTGCCTATCCTTAGCCAACGCTGACGTTCAAGGAACTCTAAGCAGTCGGTAAATGCGCGACGCAAACAACTGCCCTCGTCTCCAACGACGCGTACCGCGCTGGCGGCCCGCGAAAGCCGCCGCGTAAGGTCGCCATGCCATTAACGAAAGACTCCTTTCGTTTCGTCGACCACAGTCGGCCACGCGCAGAATGGGGTAGGGGTAGGGGGGAAGCGTTCTTAGAAGCACGCACCCTGCTTCTCAGACGGCGCGGGCCTCGTCTGTAGATGCTGGGTCGGCGCCTTCTATGAAGCAGCCTCCTGAGCAGCCCTCCCCCTCCCCCTACCCCCTTGTGCGCGCCGCGTCTTGCGTCTTTACCCTGCACCCTTACAGTGAACATCCATAGTATGGACGGGCCACCTGCCCAAGGGCACCCTTGCGTCCTTAAGAATTGTTTGGCAGTGCGCCGCTAGAAAAGCCTTCAACTCGGGCATCCAGGGATCGCCCAAGGGTCGTGCGTCCTTGCAGCGCGCCCCCACCCCAGATGTTTGACTGCACGGCGGGGCCTTGACTGTACCGCGGCCCTCGAGGGCCACGGCTGCCCGAGCGGGAGGCCCATCGCCGGGCGAGAGAGCGGCCAGCCTCCGCGGTCCAACGCCGTCGTCGTCCGCCGCCGTCGCCGCCGCCGCCGTCGCCGTCGCCGTCGGCGTCGTCGCCGTCGTCGTCGTCGGCGTCGTCGTGTTCGTCGGCGTCGTCTGCCGCCCTCGTCGTCGCCGAGGCCAGAGCACCGCGGGCCTTGGGCGGCGCACGCAGCCCCGAGGCCCACGGCTGCTGCCGGCTATCGGCGAGTTGCTGGGGATCCCCCCTGCGCCCGAGTCGTGGGCCACTCGGGGTCTCCCGGGCCAACCCATCGGGGCCACGGAAGCACGTGCGCCCTGGGGCAGGTGGCACATCGCCGCCGCCGCCACCCCTCCTGGAGCCGCTGGACCCGTCTTCAGCCGCGCGCAGTTCGAGTCAGCTGGCGTGGGCGGGGGGATATGTCGGGGTTGGCGGAGCACCGAAGCCATCCGCGGCCGCCGCCACAGGAAGGCACAAGCCTTCCCGCGCCCAGCGGAAGCCCCCGATCCACGGTCCCTCCCTGGGAACCTTTCGGCCACTTCGGTGGACGAGGGTTCCCTTTGGTGGGTCTGGGTGGTGGGGTTTCCCAGGGGCTGGGGGAAGGCCCTCGTGCCTTCCCCTTCGGCGAGCGTGGCCGCCGCCGCACCACAGCCAAGCGTTTCAGCCTCCACCCCACATGTCGCCGCCGACAGGCCGCCACGTTCTCGCGGCACCTCAGCCGATCGCCCTTTCTCTTCCTCCAGGGTCAATCGCAGGGCCGTCCCTGCCGTGTCGTCGTTCCTTCCCCCCTTCCCCTCCTCCCGGGGCGGTGGGGGACTGAGCTACCCCGCCCCCGGGTGGCCTCTGAATTCTACGATTCCTTTGCTCATCGTTATGCTGCACTGAATGGCAACTCTCCCCCGCAGGGGCAGCGGCCCGTGGGGGTAGGGGGAGGCACATCTGACAGACTCTCTTTC